GGACCAATGAATAACATCATGATAAACAGAAAAGTTTAAAGTTGTCAAGGAGATCATTTTACTTGGATCCACACTCAATGCTCATGAAAGCAGCAGTCAAGAAACTAAAGGACTTATTGCATTGGACAAATCTGCTGTAAAACACCTCTTTAAAGGTATTAAAGAGCAAAGATGTCACTTTGCAAACTAAGGTACATCTAAGCCAACCCATGGTTATTTTTGACTGCCTCATATCAAGGAACAAGGAACTCTGGAGAATTGGTGCATCTGAATTATGGTGTGGCAAAGAATAGTAAAAATGCCATGGACAGTCAGAAGAACAAACAAATCTGTCTTAATAGTTGTACAGCCAAAAAGCTCCTTAGAAATGAGGATGGGGAGACTTTGTCTCACGGACTTTGGACATGTTCTCAGGAAGGACCTGTCCCTGGAGAAGGACATCATTCTTGGTAAAGTAGAGGGTCAGCAAAAAGAGGAAGACCCCTAACAAGATGGACTGGCACAGCTGCAGCGATAATGAGCTCAAACAACAGTAATTGTGAGACTGCTTCAGGGTCAAGCTGTGTTTTCTTTGTTGTGCATATGGGGTCACTGTGAGTCAGAGCTGGCTCAAGGGCACCTAAAACAACCACAACGTTTCCTTGACCCTTTGTCTTCTCTTCTTTACTTTAGATTAAGTGTCGGCCTTTTCTTTTTAGCAAAGCAGTGATGGAGTGGGGAATCGTGCCAAGAAATCAAAGTATTTATTGCACTGGGTAAATCTACTGCACGAGTCCTCTTTAAAGTGTTGAAGAGCAAAGATGTCAGTTTGAGAAATAAGGTGTGCCTGATCCAAGTCATGGTATTTTCAATAACCTCATATGCATGTGAAAGGTTCACAATGAATAAGGAAAACCGTAGAAGAATTGATGCATTTGATTTATGATGTTGGAGGAGAATATTAAAAGTACCATGGACCGCTAAAAGAACAAATAAATCTGTGTTGGAAGAAGTATAGGCAGAATGTTCCTTAGAAGTCAGGATGGCCAGATTTCATCTCTCAGACTTTGGACATATTGTTGTTAAGTGACACCAAGTTGGTTCTGACTTATAGAGACCCTGTATAAAGTTTCCGAGGAGTGGCTGGTGCGTTTTTTGAATTGCCGACCTTGACATTCAAACTAACCTTGTAGTCCAGTGCTTTGTCTTACAGCGCCACAGCAGGACTCCTAGTCTTCCTTGTAGTTGTATGGATATTATCCTATCACAGGCAGTATTATTACACATCAAAATAATTCTTGAAGTATTCTTGATGATGAATGTGATGCCATTCCTTTTCAATTTGTCATTCCCAGCGTAGTAAACGATAAGACTATCAGCTTCAAAATGGCCAATACCAGTCCATTTCAGCTCACTAAATGCCTAACACTAATGTGTTCCATTTCATTTTTGACAACTTCCACTTTTCCTAAATTCATACTTTGTACACTCCATGTTCTGATTATTAATGGATGTTTACATTATTTTGTGTTGTAACCCATCTGAAATGTTTTATCTTATAAAAAGCACAAAAACCTAATAATCTCTAAAAGAAAAGTTTTATTACTCCCTGATATTACAAAAGTAACTTACACCTTAAGGGTAGATAGTATTCCTGAAGTGTTGTTATTAAGCGCTGTAGAGTCAGTTCTGACTCACAGTGACCCTATAGAGAATTTCCAAGGAACAGCTGGTATGTTTGAGTCATCAACCTTGCGGTCATTGATGCAGGTGCTGATCCTCCAATGCCACACAGAATACTCTAGCAGTATTCTGCATTAAATCTAATTCTGTCTTTAGAAAATAGTCAAGTGGGAACATGCTCATCTTTGTGTATATTATAAGAACAAGCTAAGTTAAGGAAGTATGAGTACATAAAACCAAAGCTTTAAGATTTTCCATACTTACCTTAAATAGCATAATAAGCTGAATTCTATTTATTCTACAGCAATTTTCATCTGGTTTATGAACCAAGCATATCCATACACGGTAAATTTGTTGATTAATTAGAAATTTATTGATAGATTATAATTCATAAATTATATTTTATATTATATTGTATTGTATTACCTTTGCTTCATTATTTCATGTACCCTCCCATGCTGGACGCACTGTTCCTCCAATTCATCATTTCTTCTCTGTAACTTGATCAGTTTGTCATAAGTATACCTTTTTTCTTGACTGAGCTGAGTAAGTTCATATCTAGAAGGTAAAAACATGGAAATGATAGATGTAAAGGTTTTTATTTCTAGAGCATATTATTGTATAACCTTAACATTACCCTAAATCCCATGGTTAAGTATAACAGTATAAACAAAAACTATTTTATGTAAAAAAAAATTTCAGAAATTACAAAATGTCTGGTAGAGGGATATATGAATTGTAGTGATTCAAGGATTGTTGTTAGGTGCCATTGAGTTGATTCTGATTCACAGCACAATGGATAGAAACACTACCCAATTCTGTGCCATCCTCACAATTGTCATCTTTTTTGAGCCTATTGTTGCTGCCCTGTCAATCCATCTTGCTTGGGGTCTTCCTCTTTTTCATGTACCCTCCACTTTACCAAGTATGATGTCCTTCTCGAGAGACTTGAGTCCTCCCTGAGAATATGTCTAAAGCGTGAAGGAAGAAGTCTCACCATCTGAGCTTCTAAGGAGCATTCTAACTGTACTTCCTCCAAGACAAATTTGTTTGTTCTTCTGGCAGTTCATGGTACTTTCAACATTCCTTGCCAACACCATAATTTAAATACATCAGTTCTTCTATGGTCTTCCTGATTCATTGTTCAACTTTCCCATGCATATGTGGTGATTGAAAACACCATGAGTTGGGTGAGCCACATCTAAGTCTTTAAAGTGACATTTTTGTTCTTTTATGGCAGATTTGTCGACTGCAATACAGCGTTTAATTTCTTGATTGCTGGCTTCTATGAGCGTTGACTATGGATTAAAGCAAAATGAAGTCTTTGACAATTTCAGTCATCTTTCCATTTATCATGATGTTATTTATTGGTCCACTTGTGAGGATTTTTGTTTTCTTTACATTGAGGTGCAATCCACATTAAAGGCTGTAGTCCTTGATCTTCATCAATAAATACTTTAAGTCTGATTCAAGATGGAGTGCTAAACCATCTCTTCCAATGGGAAATTCCAAAATCTGTAATTCTTTAATCTCTAACCACTCTATGTCAAGAGAAGGATTCCCCAGTTTCTTGCTTGTCATATACAACCCTGGCCCTCAGCAGTCCAAGAGTTGGTGGAAAAGTGAGAACAATTATTCAAGTACAAGTATTGCTATTAAGTGCTGTGGAGTATGTTCCGACTCAAAGTTTCCGAGACACAGATGTGGGTTTGAAGCACCAACCTTGTGGTAAGCAGTCCAATATTCATCCTATTAGATAAATAAAATATAATATTAGATGATGGCACAGTGATATAAATGCTCTGTTGCTAACTGAATGGTTGGAGGTTTGAACCCACCAGTCATTCTTCAGGAGAAAGCTATGGCAGTCTGACTCCTGCCGTGATGATCACTGCTGTGGAAACCCTACGAGGCAGTTCTACTCGATCCTCTAGTGTTACTATGAATCAAAAGGGACTCGATGGCAATGGGGTTGGTTAAATATTAAACAATAAATTACATCTGATTCTAATAGAGATGGCATCTTCAAGAACAAACACCTCTTCTTAAAGGCAATCATTCATTTAACAAATATTTATTGATGCCTCCTGGTGTGGCACTGTAGGATCACCACTGGACTGAGAACCACAAGGCCAGCAGTTTAAATCCACCAGCTGCTCTTTGGAAACCCTATATAGAGTCACTGTGAGAATCGACTGAAGGCACGTAACAGCAACAGCATTACAGGTCAGCCACCACATTACCAAATTAGCAGCAACCCTTCTCCTAATTTCTATAACAGAAAGTTGATTCTCTCAATAAATCTAGCTCTTAGCTCTTAATTTAATGGAACTTTGTACAAATTAAAACAGCAGTCCTCTACCCTCTGACTCCTAAACCAGTAAAACAGCAACAAATGCTTTCAATTTTGTTCATCTATTTCTTCTATCTACAGTCATACTTATGCATATGGTCATACCACTATCCTCTCTTCTATCAATTAAAATCTTTCCACTGACTTAATATGGGAGAGGGGAATGTTGTGAACCACAGGGCTGGTGGGTTGAGCCCACCAGCTGCTCCATGGGAAGAAGATGAGGCATTCTGCTCCCGCAAAGATTTACAGCCTGGGAAAACCTATACAGGGTTGCTATGAGTCGGAATCAATTCAACAACACTTAACAACAATAATATGGAAGATGAAGTTAAACTCTTTTTATCTGCCCTGTTCCCTGTCCTTCACCTCCGTCTTGTCAGTATGTTGCAGTTTGGGGTATATCACAATTATAATGACTACATAAGTATTGCTCCTTGCTATCCTACTGCCTCATGAGGTGTATTATGGTCGCATTTGTACTTGTGTACATTTTCCGTTTTGTTTTTTTCCCCCAATTTTTTTTTTCCAAACAAAATTTTTTTTAATGTATGGTGGTAAACCACCTTCTCAGATGGGAGATTCCAAAAATCAGTATCTGTAATTCTCTCTTCTATTTCTCAAGGGAAGGATGCCCTAGTTTTCTGCTAGTCATGTCCAATCCTGGCTCTCAGCAGTTTAGAAAGTGGAGAGAAAGTGAGTACAGGGAATCTCACCTTACAGAATATATACTTCTTCTATCTAAACTTCCACCCCTATTTTAGCCAGAACCTGCTCTCTTTGGAGAGAAAGTCTCTAGGCTTCTGGGTCAAATAGGGATGGTCACTTGGTTGCATGCTGTGGAGATAGACTTTGGTTTAAACTCTATGTCCCACATCACTTTCTAAATATTTCTGGAATTCTGAGAGCAGATAAGCTTGCTTCACATATCCCCCGTACCTACCACTGTACATACTGAAGTTACAGTTTCCACTTTCTTCTACCCTGCTAGGATAAGTACCATTCCCCTCATTTTCTTTCTGTCTTCAAATGTTTCATTGGGGATCACAAATATCTCCTTGGTGATGGCTGATGTCCATCAATGTCTTGGATGGTTATCTGAAGTTTCAAAATTTGAAGATCAAAAGATCTCTGTCCTCTTAATTAAAGTCTCAACTGTGCCTATGCTACCATCTCCTCCTCATGCTCCACTGCTTTGTCAGTTAGAACTGAAAGTTGAAAAAGAAAACCTCTTTGTATTATAAGTAGTTTCCAGCCTAGTGATTGTGGGTTTGCTGTCTGATTTTAAATTAAGACTGCTGATGAACAATTATTTCTGTCAAAGAAAGTTTTCTCTAAGAAAGGATTCCTCCCTGCAAAAACCATATGGGATCCATGTCTGACTTCCTCTGACTCCAAAAGAGGGAAAGAGAATCACACTTAAAATCAGCTCAAGGCCAACTCTGAAGTGGAGGTCAGATATGCTTCCACCCTACAACCTTCTTTGCCCTACCTATTCTGACATCAACCATTCCTCCCAAGGCACTCTCTGCTTCGTGTCTGGGTTTGAGAATACATTGCAGTGGCCACATAGAACTCACAATACTTACTATTATAGGGTTTATTAGGGAAGAGAACAGGGCACAATTAGGATCAAAACCAACTCAGGATGCAGCAGGTCTCCAGTCAGGAATGCCTCTTATCTTCCATACTGCAAGCAAGCCTCACTGTTGTCTTCAGCCTCTCAGTCACGTGGGCCCTTGACCTTTGCCTGGCTCAGGCAAGTGTTACAAAGTTCTTTTAGCAAGGCTGTGAATGCCCAAAGGGTACATTCTGCAAGCCAGTCTCCTGCCTGCAGGGACTCAGTGTATGGGTCTAGAGCCTAAAGCTGCTCTGTCTCTCCTTGTCACCACCTCTGCTGTTTCCTCTTGCCTTTACTTCTTGTATGGCTATTGCTGTTTCTCTAGGTAGGGAATCTCTCATGTGTCACTCATGCTCTTCCTTCTTGATGGTCCTGGGATCTCCCATCTCTGCTTCTGAGATGGCTCCTTTTAAACTTAGCTGGAGGGCAAAACTAACCAATCCTATTCTTAGAGTCCTGTCTACCTTATTTGCATGATCCCACCCCAATAAGATGGATTAGCACAATGGCTGCAGCAGTAGGCTCAGGTTTAGCAATGGTTGTGAGGTTGGCAAAGGAGCGGTCAAGTGTTTCATTCTGTTGTGAATAGGGTCATTATGAGTGGTGCAGACTCAGACTCGATGGTACCTAACAACAACAACAACAACACAGTTACTTGGTGATAATTAAGAATCAAGGTCAGCAATTCGAAACTACCACCCATTCCGCAGGAGAAAGATGAGGCTTTCTGCTCCTGTAAAAATTCATAGCTTTGGAGACCCTATACAGGGTTGCTATGAGGCAGAATCTACTCCATGGCACATCACCACCACAGACAAAGGATATTTTATCATATCAGTCATTCATCCCAAGGACCAAGTTACTTCACTTGTCTGGAATAATCTGTAACTTTATTTCACCTCCTTCCTAATTTTGTTTATACCTTGGATCAAGTGTTGTCCCAAAGCCTGCCCTGATTAATATCTTCAAGTTCTCAACATGCTAGCATATTTCTGAAACTATCTCTAGCCTTTATGTATATGTTGTTGTTAAGTGCCGTCGAGTCAGATCTGACCCATAGCGACCCTATACAGGGTTTCCGAGGAGCGACTGGTGAGCTTGAACTGCCAACCTTGCAGTTCAAATGGTTTTGCAGTCTGATGCATTAACTCACAGCACCACACCAGGACTCCTTTATGCATATAGTAGCTTATAATTTATTCCTTTGAGTTGTGTTTTATGCCTTGTGTTTCTCACTAGATCACACATGGACATGAATCATCTCATTTTCAAATTCAGATCAAGTGCTCAATCTACGTTTGCTATGATTAAGAATTTACCTATATTTTAAATAGTCTAAATGAGTTAATAATGATTTATATTACTCCTTACAAGATGGCATACAATAGAAAAGACTTTAAAAGTACTTATAAGAACCTGGTAATTTAGTATAATACCAAGATTTTCCTATCACATCATGCACTAAATTCCAAAAGAAGAAAAAAATATCTTTAAACCAGATTAGGAAAAAAATGCAGAAGAAACTTTATCTGTTTTCCAGTACTTTATAAACAGAAAAAACACAAAACAAATTTTTTTTCTTAT